CACCCCCAAGAAGGCAAGTTCTCACACCGTGGTGACAAGGAGGATGAGATGGTGTAGGGAGAGAGATGCAGAAGAGAGATGCAGAAGGAGGCTCGGCAGGAGGACGGATGACCGGGAGAGTGCCAAACAAAAAAAAATCCTAGGTGGTGCAGAGAGCGGGGATGCCAGAGAATGGTCTTGAGCAGAGGCAGGTGGATGATAATCCAGGCCACAGCCAAGACTGCACCTCACGGCAGCAACAGGAGGGAGAAGCCATGGAGGTGTAGAGACAGACACCACTATGGGGAGACCACCTCGTAGCCGAAGGACTGAAGCCACGAAGGGACTCCAGTGACCTAGGAGGCCGTGACGGAGATGCAGAGACAACCCCCCGAGATGGCTGTAGGGATCCAGAGGGCTGTGGTTGAGCTGGAGTGACTAAGGGTGAGGGCGGAGGCGGAGCCTAAAGGGGGGGCGGAGCTAGCCAAAGCCAAAGGGTTGGAGGGCCGGAGAGCAGCGGATGGCCTGCAAGTCTGCAGCGGAGGCAAAGCTATGTCCAACCCAGGTGGAGCCGACGGTACGAGGGAACCCGGTGAGGCCAGAAGTCTGATGGTTGCTGCCAACATCGAGGGAGGAAGGAGTGCAGGCACAGGAGCCAGGGCGATGCAGTAGCCCCTCACTGCAGAACAAAGATCCAGGGGGCGATTCAGGGTATGATGCTAAATTTGAAAGATTGAGGAACTTTTCCACATGTTCCTCAAGGGAGCGGTCCCCCTGCTCCAGGAGCAATAGTCTAACTGCAGGGAGGTACATTGTGACAAAAAAAAAAGCGAATTCCCACAAAAACACTAATTAAAACTTACGCTGCTTACTTCACTTTGTAGCCGGGTATTCTGTCACACATATGTGGCTAGTATACACAAGCACAACAATGAACACAGGGATAAATCCAAACAGGCTTTAATAATCCACAAAGAGATCCAAACTAAGAGAGAGTAGCATCCACAACTCAGGCTTGACATCAACAATAGACGACAGTGAAAGACAACAAAGCATGAACATAAATAGGGAAAGTAATGAGACATGCACAGCTCAACAAAATGGGTGATCAGTTAATATCCATTACAACTAACCAAACAAAGGAAAGGCAGTGCAAACTGAAAACAAAGTCCATGTGATCTGTGTGAAAGTGACAATATAAATGCCACCAGTATTTTTTACTACTAAAACTCAAAGTTTCATACAAAACAATCAAGACTAGGAACATTTCCAGTCCTTGACAATAATTATATACAGTATACATATATAATTGTTAATTTTTCATTTTGATGCAAATGTACACACTACTTTGAAGCAAAAAAGCATCCAGATTGAGAGTAATGAAATGCTCTGTTGATACAGCTACATTGTGTTTTGCTTCTATCTCTGTTGTGGTTCAGTGTGTGTGTGTGTGTGTGTGCGCGTGCAAACAAAGCATTCATAAAGCCCTAAGTTCAAGGGACAAGTCTATGGTTACTCAAACATACACATATGCATGCAGGCAACTCTACCCTTGTCCCCCCACTTTCATTAGAATTCAACTCTACATCTGGCCCTCGTGTCACAACAGTCGTGTGTGTATGTGTGTGTGTGTGCCTGTTTTTTATATGGAATATTGATGTGCCCTGTTGTCATTAAGCCCTAGAATAATGTCAAAACAAAAAGACAGGACACAATGTGGAATTTCGTATACAATATTCATTTGTGTAGATCCTCAGTGAGATTATATGGTATGTTGTACATTCACTACAATATACTGCAGATGTCACACAATACAATGGACCATTCCATGCTACAATCACCAGCATATGTTTTAGCAATATCACATGAGCAGGAGGTCTGTTATTGCCCTGATATTCAAACCAAGAGCTTTTAGCATGATTGTGAGTGTGATTTTTGCTTTTAAATAAAATATATATTGCCAGTTACTTTGTTTATGTTTGCTCTGCCAACGAAAAGAGGTTCAAACAACGTCACAGCAGAATCAATCATAGCTCATCTTCGAACAACACACAGCTGGTGTTTCATTCTTGATTTAATCTGTTTTGAGTAAATAATTTGAGTGAAGGATTAAAAGACTCACTCTTTAAGGCAGTATGAATAGGATATGAAGTATGAATTCATGTTTTTGAATAAATCGGTTGAGCGAATAATTCAACGATCCTGTCCCAAATGTCACCCTAAAGGTGCATTTTACTGTTGCTCTGTGAAATTTCTGGGGTGAATCTCAGTCACTTCAATAGGAATCCATGCTATCTGGAGTTTTGTGCAAGGGCGACAAAGTTCCCCCCACAGATTTAGTTCATGTTCAAATTGGTCAAGTTAATTCACTGTTCCAACCAACAGAAAGTTGCTTGGTTTGAAATTGACTTTGTGTGACTTAGTGTGCATGCCTGGTTCAAGCTGATATGCTGACATTTTAATGGTTAGATTTTAAATGGTTCTTTATTAGAGAATTACATTTTTATGGTTTGATTTTAAATGGTTTTTAAATGTTTTTTTATAAGAAAAAATTAAATGTGTATCTTATCTGTCTAATCTCCCTGAAGGAGTGTCTGAAAAGTTGTTGTTTTGTCACACTGTCTGATAATGAGGCACATCACTACCAACCTCAGTTTAATCATTCTCTTGTCAGTGAGGCTTCAGTGGATTCAATTAAGTCAGTATGTTTGCAAACAGTACACTGCTGACTCTTTCTTCAAATTCCTTCTTTACGTCACAGTAACAACTGATTTGTATTTCGAACCTCTTTTTGCCCCTGAGCGAAGACTTCCTCTGAGCCCACACTTTCATGACATAATGGCACTTGGACTGTCAGTTAGAACTCTGCTGCGAAGCTCACTTCAGCAGAAGTACTCAACAAGGGCCGCAAAGGGGGCGCTCATGAGCACACTTCTGAAAAATAAATACAAATGGGGCGCCCTACAGTCTCGTACGCGGTTGTAAGTCTGCAAGTGCTCATGAAGTGTTCTATTTAGAACAGGGCCAATAACTCACTCAAAATTAAAGACAGCTTGTTCCTGTACGAATTAGTATGTTTAACAAATCAGTTGAGTTACTGTAACGTAATGACGGAATTTGAAGAAAGAGTCACTGAAAAATTCCCACAGGTAACCCAGCTAACAAAAATGTTCTAAGAACGTTTTGCTGACATTACCATTAAGTTATGACAATGGTATTTCTGAATGTTCTCCAAACATTAAAAAAACCAAAAAACCAAAAAAAACATTTATTTATTTCTTGGTCATGCAAACGTTAAGATAACATTCCATTTGATCACTTTGCAAACATTATGGGAACGTTACTTT